TGATCCAGTCCAATATGAATTCATTACAGATGGATCAGGTCCAAACCAATCTAATGAATACTCTGGACCATTTTGAACCAGTTCAATTTAATATCTGGACCATTCAATCTGTTCAAATTGGTTTAAATTTAAATCGGGTCCAATCCAAACCTGGTTAATTGACACTTTTATTCTTATCTTCTATCAATGGACTGGATATTGATTCAATCCAACCCAATCCAATATAAATCCAATTGATTATGGGCGGGTTAGGCCAATCCAATCCAATAAATATTTTGGACCATTAAGTCTTGATTGGTCCGATTCAATATGTTTTATTGGTTCATCCAATCCGTCTAAATTGATTTTGATTTGGATGGATCCAACCCAAAAATGGGTCCATTGACACCCCCATGTTCAACCAGCCCTTTGGGTTAAAATCACTGTGCGTTTTTTGGGTTATGGGCCTCTGGGTAGGTCCAGTAAGAATGTGTATCTAACAAAAATTCCCCCCCATTAACTCAGTTATCAGTTAGCCGATGTAAACCTCTTGGCATGACTCCCTGGCGGATTGGGCAGCATTGGATGCCTTATCCATCAGATCATCCTTCTTGACCTGTTAAGCAAGAACCATGGAACGAATCGCAAACATCATTAATCAATTGTATATAGAAAGCATCACCATAAAAAGAAAAATGAGAAGACCAGTCTTTCACCTGAGCATGGCCCTTGGCCTCACCAGCTTGATAACTGAGGTTTTGGGAATTGTCAGCCATCTTTTGTTTTCTGCTTTTGGCTTCTGAAGAAGCAAAATGAGACTTCAAATTAGTTCTCTCCTTTGATGATTCAAACCCAAGCAATGGCAGAAGGCTTTATAGTTTTTATCTCAAGCCCTTGGATTGACATGTGTTGTGGATGCGACATGAAATTTTGACAAGTGGCACTGTTTTGAAGAGGCAGCAGGAGTTCCAGCCTTCTGACGAGGGACTACTAGACAAGTAGTCAATTCAACCCTAAAATATCACTCCAGATCTATTACCCACAAATTGTTTTCACATTTCTACCCACAAAGCATCACCACCGTGTATTAGAAACGTCTCCTAATAAATGATAAGGGAGATATTTCTAATATGCAACTTTTGGGTAGCAGATCCGATAGTTCTCTGAAGAGGTATTTGCCAGCGTAATTTTGTTTTTTACAACAAAAACAACTACCATAGCGAAAAAAAAAGCAATTGTTGGGGCCGATTAATATTGATAAAAATCAATGTGATAGAATGTTACAAACAGGATTAATCTTCATTCAATAATCAGATAGTTTAATCTGCACAATTGCAACAGGCATTCAAGGCCAGTACTATATTCATTGTTAAATTATGCTATTATGGACACTTAAAAATTTATTATTAATTCCACCCAAGTCCTTTTTCAGTCTATTCCTAATTCTTCTAACCCATAGTTTCAATATTTTGATGGTCTCATAGTCTTAAACCTTCAAAACATTGTAATTGGCAAAACAAGTTCCATTTTTTTTATCTCATTCTATTTATTAAAAGGGCTGTTATCCAATATTCACCTACGCTATTGGAGCCTTTTTTTTTTCACAAATTGATCGATCTCAGACTTGAACCTGCATTCTCATGTTTATTTCATCAATTGGGTTTTCAACTTTAGCCTTGTACCTAGTCTGTTTGACAGAAGTGATGGATAGTCTATTTGAACTTTGATTTCTCTAACCAACAAATCTATCTAGTGGTACAACTTAAGTGGGCTTGGGTTGGGCTTTGCACCCCTAGTGGTATCTTTGTTCTGATTTTATATTGTATTTGGACAAATTATTTAATCCAATTAAATATTGGGGTTGACAATCTGCAAGATGGGGCTTACAAACTGAAATACAGGATTTGTTAATAATTCATAGATTTTATAGTACTAGTAAATGTGTATGTGTATTTGCACGTGATAGTATCTCTAAGACAACTATTTATAATTTATGGTCACTTCTTATAATTCATTTATCCAAAAATTAATTAAGGTATTAAGTGGGTTGAACAGTAATAATTCATGGTTCTAACACCTGGGCAGTTTTTGAACGGTTATAAGTGAACAGTTTCTGAAGTGAGAACAGAGGACATATATGCCCTCTTTATACCCATTGTATGCTTAGACAAAAGGATAAAAAACATCCAATGAAAATTCCAGAAAGAAGTGAGAACAGAGGACATATTGCCTAACTTAAGGTTATATTTGGTTTGAAAGAAAAGGTAGGGAAAGACAGAAAAACCAATACAAGGGTTGTAAAGGTTTCCCTACCTCTCCCTTCCTTTCCCTACATTTTCCTTCAAACCAAACATAGCCTAAATGAATGACGTTAGAGGGAAAACTGTCATTAGATGTTGAAAACAAGGCCAATGTAGATATCTTAAGCTGTGTTTGGGTTGATAAAAAGTGAGAGAACGAGAAAGTTAGAAGGAAAGTTCTTAAGGCTGTGTTTGGTTGCAGTGCGAATTTATTTGCACTAGTACAGATGAATGAGAGTGCAAATGTAAAAAAAAAATGCAAATTCTTGGAATTTACTTTTTTTCTGTTTTATGTCTTAATTTACTTATTGCAATCAAACAATATAAGTTAAAATTTGAAACAAAAATAGGTCAGGATTTACATTCAAATCATTTGCATTGTCATAATTTTATATAAACGCAAATTTATTTGCATTGCAACCAAACACAGCCTAAGGATTTTCACAAATTTCTGTTTCTTTCTTGTTTTATATCAAATCAAAACTAGCCTTAAGGCCGGGGGTAGTGCTCATGAAGTTCAAGGATCTATAGTCTAAGAAATCTTTAAACTCATGAGATGCCTGATATGGATTTAAAAGGAGAAAACAGTAAACTTTTGAGATTTTTTTTTTTAATTTTTATTTTGTCGTCTTAGAGGTATTTTGGGTATGATTTTGTCTTTCAAAACAAAACAATTGCTACATCAACAAAATCATATTTTTTTTTTTACATTATTTACAGAAACTGGATCTACTCCAACAAGAGACACTACAACCACACATTGGGAACATCTTCATGACAAAGGAAATGTTTCCAATATGTGGCTGTAGTGGCTTGTTGGGAGGGTTATTGAAAGATTTGTTGGGAGCATATCCAAATTATAATGTCAACGCTTTTGTCCTCCAAGTAAAAATCAAATTCGGTGCTTCAGATTTTATTTCCTTGTAAATTTTATAAGCTGACACCTTGGTGTATAGCTTCGTTTCTGTATCCTCCTCTCTTAAGCTATTCTTTCCAAATTAATAAAATATACAATGGGCACCCCTAACTGAGAATAAATTTTGGGGTTAAAAAATATTAAATGCTATTACTTGTAATTAAGGGTGAGCAAATGGGTAAGTTTCTACCTAGTACTGAATGGAACTGACTTTGAATCAATTTTGAACTGACTCTACCCTGTACTTAATGTTACTCGGTAGGGTCTGCTTTTAAATTATTGGAATCAATTCCCACTCATCCTGGTTCCAAGGTCTAGGGATTTACCTTACCCGAACTGACATGGAGAATTAGTCTTGATTGGCCTTGATGGAATAAGGTTGGATCTGAAGTTGCTTTGAAATAAATTTCAAAATATTTTGAGGATGTAAAGATTTGAACCCAACTAGCAGTCATGGTTACCAAAACTATGGTCTCACTTGATCATTGAGTCACTTAAGTGGTTTGAACCGCAGCCCATTAGGGTCCATGCTAGCACAACACATTGCAAAACTTCCTCTCCCCCTTTCTAACGGCCATTTTAATCTTTAGGGGGCCTTAAATGACTTAAATGCCCCTCAACTGCTATGGACAAGTGAACAGCTAGTTTTAGGGGTGCATTTTGGTATTTTATCATTAGGACCCTCTAAATCGAGACCGGAACTGCTCCTCACACCTGACGCCTCACATGCACATCCTATCATGCATTGGGAACATCTCCCGTGAATGTGAGGCGCCCATTTGTGAGGAGCAGATCCCGTCATCTCTAAATCCTCAAAATGCTCCCAACAAATACAAACACCGGAGGGGGGGGGTGAGCGTTTTTGTATTTAATCATTGGGTGCCCTCTAAATTCTCAGAATGCCCCCAACAGCTATAAATAATTAGTTTTGAGGGGCATTTTGGTCAAGTGATAAAAGAACTTTTATAAAAATTTCAAAAAGGAGATGAAACTGGAAGGCCAAATTTTTAAAATTATTATATATTTTGGTTTTCAATTTTATTCATAAATTATAATCCAAATCATTTGTGATTCTTTTCCAATTCCATTGTATTTTCTTTTCAATTTTATTATACTATTTCGTTCAAATTCCGTTATGTTTTTTTTTTTAAATTTCATTTTATTATTTCATATATGAACAATTATATACATTAAAATTCATATGGAATAAAGTTTTAAAATTTTTTCAATTTATTATTTATATTGTTATTTTTTTTCAAATATTTTGTTATTTTCTCTTTCAAAGTTTCTTCATAAAAAAAATCATGCCGGCCTCACGCCTCAGCACGAGCCATGCGGATAACATGACAAAACTTGGTTCTATCAAAGAGTAATGAATCAAATGAACACCCTTATGCAATTTCGGATTGGTTGAATGTATCGTGGCAAGAATTTATTGTGAAATCAAAATAATGTTTGGGAGATTGGCGGCCGTCGATCTCAATTCTCAAGGCCATCTCTCCAATAACTGATTCAATTTGCTTTTTAACTTTCCTGAGAACTAGATCCAGGAATTGGGGTTAACCTGAATTGTGGATCGAAGGCATATAAAACGTTGTGTTGAATGTTTTAATGATGCCCATTAATTAGATCAGCAAAAGGAGATGGTGCTAATCAAGAGATTAAACAAATTCAACCCATGAGAGAAATGATCTCTCTCTCTGTTTTTTTTTTTTTTTTCCTTATTCAACAATGAGTAAACAATAACCAGCTCTTCTTCAAGAGGAGAATCCAAAAAACAAAAGGATCCATGAGCCAATAACTTTTCACTTGTTCATCCCGGTGGCTTCCTTGACAGCATCAGCGGCCCCTTGTGCCTTAGCCATCATTTGCTGACCACCCTATACAATCAAAATTTATACTATTATATTATAAATTAAAAGAATATTGTTTGGACTAACAATTTTAGAACTGGAATTTTTTAATTGGGAAATGAATAGCTAGAACCTCTTGGCATGATTCCTTGGCTGATTGATAGGCATTGCTTGCCTTCTCCATTATCTGATCAGTCTTGGCCTGCAATAAGTAGAAAACTCTCATATATATTAAATTGATCGATTTTATCATATATAGAAGAAACATTAATGGTCCGTCACCTGAACTTGGCCCTTAGCTTCACCTGCGTGGAAGCTCGCTTTCTGAGAGTTGTCAGCCATCTTTTTTCTCTTTTGGCCTTCCTGAGAACTCACAGTTAGCACATAGAAGAAACTGAGCAATGGCGAGGAAATTTTATTATAATCTTGGTCATGAAGCCCTTGGACGACATGTGCCATGTAGTTTTGTCTTGTACATACAAATGTGACTTTTGTTTGCCCCTAGAAACTCGTTCAATTCAAATACTTCAGGATTTTGACTTTTAGAGGGAAAATGTCCGTCAATGAGCTTATTGATCAGGGATACTTATATTGTATTTTTAGATTAATGTAGGGTTTATAGAAAATTTATTTTTCCTATGTATAACTTACTTGAGCAAGTGACATCCATCTCACAGATGAATAAGTAATTTTTCCACCTGAAAGAAAAGTTGTTAATACTTAGATGTGATAAAATTACCCTTCTAACAATAACTTTTTATGATTAAAATGATCATTGTCTTATTTATCTGAAAAATAAAAAAACATATAGATAAGTATAAATAGTTTGTCTAACAATGAAACCTTTAAGGTTGAACCGAATTCATTCAATCTTTAGGCTACATGCCCATGGGCCCTTGTAGATATAATTCTTGGGCCTTAATCGAAGATAAGCACTCTTGAGTCTTTACTTCTTTTGGTTTTTGAATATAAAACCTATTTACCTATGAAAAGCGAGCAAACGAGAGTATGGCATTCTTTCGATGCAAATGGGGTGGAAAGTTAAGTTCTAGTTTTGAAAAGGACAAAATTTAGCTGATATATTTCAATGTGACTAATTTAACTGAAATATTTCAATGTACATATTTACATTTGCACTCTTCTCAAATTGAACCTTTGGAAGGAGTACAAATATGAATATGTAGAGTGCAAAGTCTTGTATTTTATTTTATTTGAAATGTATTTTTACTGTACGTATTAGTATTTGTACTCTTTCCAAACCGAGCCTGCAAAAGGGGTGGAAAACAAAGGTCTAGCTAGTTGTAAAAAAGTGAAAATTTAGCTGAAATAATGTGAAAAATTTTCTACGCCTTTTAAGTTGAAAAAAATAAGGCATTTATTATTTTGTTGAGCCAAACTGAAAACTTTTTAACTTTTAGGTGCACTGCAATTTCTTTGCAGATTCTGATTTATATTTGTAATTTGTTTAGGCTGTTTTTGGTTTGAAAGAAAATGTAGAAAACTATAGGCGGGGAAACAGGAAATATACCTTTCCCTTCCTTTCCTTACCTTTATTTTTAAATCGAACATAGCCTTAAGCTTTTTTGCTTCTTTGGTTTGCATTGCAGATGAGGTAAAATAAAACCCGAATAAAAAATTTTACCAGAATTTGCATTCTTCTCATGCATTTGTACTAATACAAATGAAGTTGCATTGCAAACAAATGGTTTGTAAATTACTTATTTGGTCATTCTCCTCTTTATTGCTTCATAAATTAAAGAGGCTTATCTTTTTTGTTTTTCCATTTTTTTAGTTCAAAGGATTAGGAGAAGACATAGCCCATATGTTTTTATCTCTTGGGTTCAATAGTTTATCTTTCTTTTCTTTTCCTTCTCCTTAGTTAAATGAAGTTCAAGTGTTGGGTCTTTTGTCTAAGGGAACAAAAAATAACTTATCACATTTCCGCCCCACAAATGCCCCACAGCACATTCCATCGTGTATTGTGAACATCTCTCAATGATGACATTATCGGCATCATCGGTAGATGTTCACAATACACGGCGGGATGTACTGTGGGACGGATATGTGAACTCCCTTTAAGGCTGTATTTGGTTTGAAGGAAAAGGAAGGGAAACCACTAGAAACCAAACACAGACAAAATGATCTAAACATGCTTTTAAAGCCTTGACTTCTCTAGTTGCAGAAATGGTTCCATTTCTGCATTATCATAATCCATCTCTAACAGAGAATTTTTTTGGTATGCTTATTAACAATTCTAGAAAAGATGCTTGAAGAGAGAGGTAGTAAGTTTCGAGCTACGCCAGACTTGAGAAGCCTATATGAGGAATGAACTCATATTAGAAGCCAATAGTTAATCAAAGAAAGGAGATCAAATTAGGCCCCACAAGATTGCCCCCCACAACGTCCCACAGCACATCCGCACCATGTATTAGAAACATCTTCCAATGATAATCCAAAAAATGATGATGTCATCATCAGGAGATGTTCTATATGCAGTGGGACGTTGTTGGGGGCTGACTTGAACTCCAAAGGATCCTATAATTCAGTATGCATAGGTGGATGTGAGTCCAGTTTTTTGTTCTTGACTCTTGAGCTAAACTAAGATTAACCCAAATTTGAACTCAGCTTTGGGCTGAAAATTTTTGTCCTAGATAAAACCCGATTGGGTTGAACCAAGGTTTTTAAAACCGACCCGGTTGATAAATCGATTAGGGGTCCAGTTCCTGGGTCAAACGGTTCAACTGTTCAAATCGGACAATCAGTCCATTCAGACAAAAAATAAAAAAACGGTCAAAACCATTTAACGGTTCGAACAGTTCGACCACCCGGGTCAGCAATTTGTTAATCAAATCAATGTTTTTTGGCAAAAATCCGGTTTTGGTGAAAAACGGAACCGATCACCTGACCAGTTCCCAGTTTTTCTGGTCTGGTCCGATTTTGAAAACCATGGGTTGAACTAATTGATTTTGAGCCAGATCGGCCTAACTTACAGTCCTGGAAAGTTGTAAGAATGGAAAGCTATAGAAGTATAGAACAAGAGGCCAAAGGACGTTAAGAATGGGGGAATAACTTAATTTAGCTCAGGGCCTACCAGCCAATGCTCTCAACTTTTGAATTCTAACAGTACTATATGAACAGCTGGAAGTTTAGCTCTCTCTTCTCTCTTTGAAGAGTTTCAACTTTCAACTCCAAATTTCTCATTAACCTTTTCCAGAAACAGAACAATTGAACAAAGAAGAAGAGAGTTCCAGTGTTTCACTCCGAGCTGCGCGCAGTAGAAGGTATGGAATTGGATGGCAGGTTAGCTGCAGCTCCAGTTAAATGTTTCAGTACTCCCTTAATTTTGGGGTGTTCACCAAATTAAATTGTATGTATGATTTTGCTTTTTTAAAACAGAAATGATTTTCACGTTATAAGTCATATACCAAACACAACCTTGACTACTAAACCTGTATGCTATAGTGTTCCTCATCAGTTGATTATTACCAGTACCACACCAAACAACTCTAGTGAGGCAATTGGTTGAAAATTGAAAACCCAAATCCGGACAGACCGGGAGAGTGGTCAAAGATCACACTGAGCAAGTGAGAGATTTGCTCAAACAACTTACCCATCCAGATCCCAGACTCTATCATTCATCATCTCTTACCCCGGCCTTCAGCTTCACCACCACCATTCATTCACCTAAACCCATGCTTTTAACTTATTCTTCCCATCATCCACCATCCACCCTTGTATATCGCATCTTAACACTTAACCAAAAAAGTGCAATGCCTTATCCGGTTAGTTGCCAGTTGCCTGTGACAAGGGGGTGACGTGGCATATCTCTAGTTCCAACACGTGTAACGGGGCTGTCACTTTTAGCTCCTTTCAACGGTTGATAGTAAAGCCACGCTCCTTTCAACGTTATCCACCGTTGGAAGAGGAAATTTTCCATTACTCCCAGAGTAGTGTCGTCACCATGGAATCTCATCAGTGTAAAAGCCAAGGTGTTGGATTATCCGCAACTCTTGTACTATTCCTGTTAACGGCCCAGGCCTTTGTTAATTACCCCTTTCACCTCTTCAAAATTACAAAGCTGCTCCTCTCAAGTCTCAACAAACGTCCATTTATATATCACGTTAATCTTCTTCCAAACTAACCAGAAAGAGCTGTTACAACTAAGAAGGTTCAAAACTGAAGACTGAAATCCAGTTCAATCTTTAATGGCTGCCCGAGCGTCCCCCAAGGTCCTCCAGAACCTCCCTTACATCGTCAGATCCTTGAATTCTTCATCTTCGTCTATCGTCACTGCCGTTCCTCCGTTGAGTTTACCGGAGAAAGCTGATGATGAAGCTGTTGTGGAACCGGTCGTCACCGCATCTTCCAACTCAGTTTTGAACCTCGACGAGGTTGACAAGTTGTTTTCATCGGTTTCTACTTTTCAGTTGCTGAAATCATCGTTGAACCTTCACATGGCTGCATTTGATCCATTTGTGGACTTGGGTGTGTGGGTAATGAAGTCTGGGCTGGTGGAGAATTCGATCTTCAAAGAGATCATATTGAGGACAGTGAAATACACGTTTTACCAACATTTCTGTGCTGGCGAGAACGTGGAGGAGGCTGGAAGGACGCTTCAGAGGCTTTGGGATGATGGGTTGAGGGGAATTTTGGATTATGGGTTGGAGGACGCAACTGATAACGAGTCGTGTGATCGGAATTTGGATGAATTTCTTAAGACTGTCGAGACTACCAAGTTGCTTCCACCATCTTCTGTAAGTTTTTTTTTTGATCTTTCTTAATTTGTCTCAATTATTCTGTTTTATCGATTTTCAATGATGAAATTTAGTTAATTAATCTACCTTTCTATCTTTTTGGGTTTCTAGTTAATTTCCGGATTGCTTCCACCTCCTTTGCTCCACCTTTCAATAATTCAAATTAATAATTTTTGCTTCTGGAAGTTACATAAATGGTATTTTCTGAATTTTGAAAAATAAATAATTATGAATATATGGTTGAATTTAAAGCTAAAGCAGGCTAGCTATGCAATATCATATTGTTGTTTTCTTTTGATTTTTCATTTTTGTAATCTTGTTCAATGCTGATATAATTTATAATCCTGTGGTATATATGCTATATATCAAACTTTACATTAGAATAAATAAAAGACCCATTTGAATTGACGATAAAACCAATCTTTTGCCACATGATCTCTTAGGTGGCTCCAACTATGTGGGTTATGTCAGCCCTTCCAAGAATGGTGGTATGTGTTTGGTGTCTCCCTCAGAATTGATTCCCTAAATATATTTATCCCCCCATAAATAGCATCCCCGCGGTGAATTGGGAATCTTTCCCCCCTTGATATTGACCCAAACTGTACAATGGCATTATGAATTGTGAGGGGAACTGAACTCAAATTACCCCTTGTTGATTTTACCTGAAATGTCAATTTGACGTTTCTATACACGTTTTGTGTATAAACAACAATTATACATACCAAACACAATCTAAATTAGATCAGATAAATGATGGCATTATGAATTGTGAGGGGAACTGAACTCAAATTACCCCTTGTTGATTTTACCTGAAATGTCAATTTGACGTTTCTATACACGTTTTGTGTATAAACAACAATTATACATACCAAACACAATCTAAATTAGATCAGATAAATTGATGTTAAAACCACTAGCAGTACTAATAACGAGTTCTTGCATCATGATGCTTCCCAGTATCCTTATTAATTGTGAAACAGAAAACAAATCTATATTTTCATGCAAACAGGTTAGCTTTGCCTGTGTGAAGATCTCTGCTATTTGTCCAATTTCACTACTCAAGCGCGTAAGTGATATGCTGAGATGGGAACATAGAGACCCATCTTTCCATCTTCCATGGAAGCAAGAGACATTACCAGTTCTTTCTCATTCTAGCCCTTTCTATCACACCCTCAAAAGACCAGAACCTCTAACTACAACAGAGGAACGAGATCTCCAACTCGCCCACCAAAGACTAATGAAGCTATGCCAGAATTGCCTTGAAACCGATCTCCCATTGCTTGTTGATGCAGAGTACACATCAGTTCAACCTGCAATTGACTACCTAACCTACTGTGCTGCAATTAGTTTCAACAAAGATGAGAACCCAGTTATTTTTGGAACAATTCAAGCTTACCTAAAAGATTCAAAGCAGAGGCTGTTTCTGGCAACTGAAGCTGCAGAGAAGAGGAGAATTCCAATTGGTTTTAAATTGGTAAGAGGAGCCTATCTGTCTAGCGAAACCCAATTAGCATTTTCTCTGGGTTTTCCTTCTCCCATTCATGAGAGTATTCAGGAGACACATTTGTGCTACGACGATTGTGCTTCATTTATGCTTGAGAAAGTAGCTAGGGATTCAGCATCTGTTGTTCTTGCCACTCATAATTTTCAATCTGGTAAAAGTTCAAATTCCTAGCTAAAACAACTCTTACTTTGAGAACAAGTACTGTTGTTACTACTAACTAGTACTAATTTCAAACACAAATACGATTTTGGTGAATTGATCAATAGGGAGTGTGGCAGCAAGAAAAGCACAAGCCTTGGGGATTGGAAAGGGAAATCAGAAGCTGCAATTTGCTCAGTTGAAGGGAATGGCTGAAGGACTTTCCTATGGTTTGAGGAATGCAGGATTCCAAGTAAGCAAATACTTGCCTTTTGGACCAGTGGAGAAGGTTATTCCATATCTTCTTAGAAGAGCTGAAGAGAATAGAGGCCTCTTATCCTCCTCAACCATGGACAGAAATTTGATGAGGTATGTGTCAACATTTATACATATTTTTTATTGCTTTTGTGGCTCACTGTTTGTTGGGTTTCTTTTCAAATTGAACTCATTTAGCCCCTTTTTTTATTTGTATGCATGTAGGAATGAGCTAAAGAGGAGATTAAAAGCTGCAATTCGAGGAGGCCAAGTTGACAAAATATAATTTCTATTAGCCCCTAAGTTTGTCTCTCTTTTTCTTTTGGTTTTCTTATAAGAAGTGTAGATCAAAGTTAAGATTAGAGTATTTGTATTAACTATTAACTTACCAAGAATGAAATTGATGAAATCTCTTCTCTTGTACCCTTTTAGTCTGTTGTTCATGAGCTCTAAAGAATATGGGAAAGAAGCCAAACCATTTTCCTATATTTGGGATTTTAGGTAGGAGTGGCAAAGCGAGCGGCAGACAAGATCTTCCTTTTTTCTGGGTCTGGATTTGTTCATTCTAGTTCATTTCCATCCCAGTTCCATCCCAGCCCAGTTCAGGCAAACCATGACGCTCAGATCCCACTCAACACTTGCTGAAGCAGCAGGACCCACTAACCCATTTCTAGGCGGTTAGAAAGCAATTTCTATCGGTCTAAGCAATTAGTCTCCAAATTTATGGGCGGTAGGGTCCAACAATGTTTTCAAAACCGGACCGGACCGGACGGTTATACCGGGAAAACCGGGATTGGGTCAGGTGACCAGTTCCATTTTACCCCAAAACCACTATTTGGCCAAAAACCGTTGATATGGTTAGCAAATTGCTGACCTGGGCAGTTGAACCGTTAAACTGTTCAACACGGGAATGACTTTTGGCCATTTTTTGGGTTTTTTAAATTTAATTTTTTTGTCAGAATGTGCCATTTGTTTGGACCAGATAGTCAGACTGTTCAACCAGGGAACCAGACCCAGAACGGTTCCCTGTCTAGTCCAATTTTAAAAACCTTGGGGTCTAATATTAATCTCACTGAGGATTGCTAGGATAGGTCTCATCCCCTGAAGCATACCCAGTAAAAAGGGAAGACAAGGAAGACATAGTGGAAGACTTCTTACCGAAGAAAAAAGAAGTTCGGGACACCTGAAATACCAAACAAGGGATGCCAACCAAACTCCAAGGCGAAGACTCTTTCCAAATGACAAAGTGAAGTGGATCGCCTACCCCCTTTTATAAAGGCATCCAACGGTCTAGATCAAATCAGATTAATGGTGTAGGACCATTGTTATACTTCACACGCACATGACCTCGGGAAGATGAAACGACACATCACATCTGCCAAACCGTAATGGAAATGGTATGAGTGTTGAACCACCCGGTCCACCCACCAAGCCAGCTTGACCATGGGCCAACCGGCTCGCAAATTGGAGTTCCTCAGTCGAGGACTTTAGAACCCTCCCGCTTGCCCACGGCCGAGCACCACACTCCTCGACTTCGGAACTGGGAGAGTGGTGTTCGAGTGGTTGCTAAGTTAACCCAAGGCGCCACGTGGTTGACTTCGTAGCTGCCCTCTCAGGGCCATGTTGGCATCGTCACCCAAAACCACATGAAGGACAGGTACGATTAGGAAGGAGTGTCTCACATGAACAAGGAAGCGGATTCCATCGGGGAAGGTGGAACCCCCCGAAGATGGCGATAGACAACCTCATCCTAACAACCATAGAAGCCCTATCTGACCCGAATATGGACGTCCAACTATAAATAGGTACGCCACGCTCAAGGTAAGGGGCTTTTGGAACTCCACACTCTTTGAATGTTCGAACCAGCATTGTCTCAACTTGCTCGTCCCGGCCACATCCCTCTTTATCCTACTAACTTGAGTGTCGAAGTGCCTACCCGAGGAACAACTCCTCGAGCCTCTGACCCTTCTCCTGGTTGCAGATCTCAGTGCATAGCTTCATCCTTCCACCTCAGCCTCGTCCAATTGATAGGACTATCTAATTGTGTCCACAATTTGAAACACCTCGGATCGAACAATATCACAAACTGCAAAAACATTTTGATTGTGTTTGGTAATATTGTTGTTTTTACCTGAAACAATTTGGATTGATCAATACAATGTATTGTTTCTACTTGAAACATTGTTTCAATTATATATTAATGATCAATTTATACATGCATTGTTTTAGCTGAAGTGACAATACATATTTTTCACCAATTTGTATTGATAAATCCAAATTCAGGTTAATGGTACCAAATGCGACCTTGATTGTGAGAATACATGTTCACTCCTTTTCAGTCATTACCACCAAATAGTTCCACTCAACAGACCGGCCAAAATATTTATTATTATGGTTGTTGTTGAAAACTTGTATGGGTGCGTTGGGGGAATGTGAAAGAAGACTGGATTCCCAGGTACAGTACGTGGGAATCTCTACTAGATGAGACAAATGACAATGCCATCAAACTAAGCCCTTCTCTTTTGGAATTTAACTAAGATAGTGCATTTGAAATATTTGTTTTGTTGCATGTTAAATCAAAATTTAAATCAATTATGTTAAAGGTGTCATATAGTTTATTTATTTTTTATTGATTCACATTTCACAAATTGTTTTTACTATTAAATACTTTAACAACATTAATGATTTAATAATTGTGATGTATCACTTTATTATTGATTTAAATGTTTTTACTGTTTACGCATAAATTTTACAAACTTGTTTTTACTATTAAATACTTTAACATCATAAATTTTACCAAATTTTAATCAAGATCTAAATGCCGACCCCATATACTTGGGATAAGATCTGGATGATTATGAAGATGATCTAAATGAAAGAGAAGCTTCAGCCACATGAATCGGGAAAGGAAAAAAAGTTTGGTTGTCTAAAATTGACTGTGTTGGACAGCCAAAGTTTGGTTATCTACATGCCTTTTTTATTTCTTAATTGAAAAAGTAACAGAAAAAAAAAACTAATTAACTACACGTATTTAAATCAGAATTTCCTCATCTGTACATGTTTCGGTACACCCAAGTTGAAGGTATAAAGTAAAATTTTCCTTAGATTTGTAAATAATTGGACTGCCATCAATGATATGTTTGAATAAGTTTTTGCTTTTGAGCTTCGGGTAGCTTGCAGACATGATTCAAAGAAGCATATCATATTATTCTAGAGGATCACCAAAATACTTAAACCCCGTTTGGCATTATTTCCTGGGAGTGATTCTACCGATTCTGGTGATTCTTAGAATGAGAATCACGTTTGGTTTAATCAGGTTATCGCTTCTCATTCAAAATGGGATGAAAAAGTCCCTCCAGAAACGAGATTCTGAAGAGTGAAAAATTTTCAGTTCTTAGGAACATGATTCTCGCCACATTAATTTGAAATAACGAAACCTTACTAAACTAAGGCCACTTTAGTAATTCCTGTTGTTCTTAAAGTACCCACTTGAAACCCTACCCCATTCCCTTCTTCCCCTTGTTTGATTATTCCAACCTCAACGGCTCTGTAACAGTCCTCTGGCACTGGTCAAAATCTCAAGTAAAATCATGGTTCTTTCATACATTTTCTTTCCCATATTTCTTCTTCCCCTTCCTTCGATTATTTCTTCTTGTTTTTTAATGCATGTTTTCTTCTTCCCCTTCCTTTTTTTAAAGAGTTGAATATCACGACCCATCATTCTATGTCAACCTCCCGCTCGTTACAGGTATGGACATCTCTGCTTGTTGCACAAGTTCTAATCCCGGACATTGAGATTTTTTTTTTTAAATTATTCCGTTGGGATGTTTTTTTTGACCAAGAAGGCTGACTACAATCTCGTTCTTATGCTCGTTCAAGGTGACTAATGGGTTTGAGTTTGATTTTAAGGCTGTGTTTGGTTTGAAGGAAAAAGTAGGGAAAGGTAAAGAAACCTTTGCAATTTCCCTTCCTTTCCCTACTTTTTTCTTCAAATCAAACATAACCTAAGGGTGCATTTGGCAGGGCTTCTTGCCTTTACACGCTTCTAAAAAGTGCTTAAAGTCGGTTTGGTAAGGTACTTCTTTGAAGTGCGTTTTCAAATGAAAAAGGCCCTCATTTAGTATTGCCCAGTTCAAAATGGGCTAATAGAAAGAACATTTCAATCAATTCATACTCATTGTATGAATCAAACCTGGTTCGTTGCAAAAACCAATGTGGAGCATTTAATTCAAACAAACAACAATAAAAGAAAAAATAAAGTGGTGAGGAGTGGTGGATATCAATGTTTTTTTAGGAAAAAAAAAAGAAAAAATGGCTAGAAATTGAACCTGATTGTAACTCACCGTTGCTGCAAGTGGTGAGAAATAGGACTGTTCATCAAACCAATAAAACCGACCAAATTGACCAATTCAACCTGATTTATTTGATTTTCTAATAATTTCAGTCAGTTTGAGTTCAACAACTATGCTAATCCAAGAGGTCAGGTCGATTTTGATTTGACCATTTGTAAATTGATCTTACCCGGCCATAGATACATATTAATATTTTATATTTTTTAATAATATCATTTCAATTCTTTAATTTTATATTTAAATCTCTTAAACCGACCAACTAAACCAAAAACTGACACAACTCGAATAGGCTGGTTTCACCATTAGTCAGTTAGTTTCAGATGACAAACTCCCCAACCCAATCAGGTTGATTTGGTTGGCCAAACAGCTTAAAACCAACCGAACCGGCAAAATGGAAAGGAAAAGGAAGAATATGAGGCAAGGGTTTTAAAGTCAATAACAGCATTTTTTTTAGCAAAGGGCATTGTAGGGAGTAAGAAAAGTTTAAATAGGCAAAACTGCAAAACCAAGATGAGAAATAAGCACTTGTTAAAAACGCAAGAAGCCAAAAGCCGCCTATTAATTCCTTTTTCTAATAGCTTTTTTGATGGGGAAAAAAAAACACTTTTGTTACTTTTGACCAAACGCTTTTTGGAGGTGCCTTCACTGAATCCGAATGCATTGGTCTACCCTTGTGATAGCTGTTGTTTTCACTTTTCTGTTTTAATTTAAAGTAGATGAAACTAACAAAAGAATGCCTTTTTATTTTTGCCACAACTTACCAAGCACATTATTGGTCACAACACAAGATGAAGCGGCAACCACATTAATCCTTTCTTGGAAGCCCCTCAGACCTTACCGCCTTAGCAAGGCATGGCGCTCATCCCTTGCATGTCACTATGTCAAACCGAAGCATAAGAATACTTATTCGTTTATGGCATTTTTTCCTGGCATCCAAGCATAAGAAGCCCAAGACTATCGAAAAAAAAAGCATCACCATCTCATTATGAACTTATATAGAGTGCAAAATCATATATTTTGTATGTATTTGCATTGTACTATTCTTTTCAAATTGAGCCTAAATAACTAATGCCTAAATCAGGATTAATGTCCTGATAATCAAACCAAATCCAAAATCGTCATGCAGCCTACTTCATTTTAGGAAGCAATTAATGAACCTGAAACAAAGGTGCATCTGCGACCAGAAATTTTGTATAAACTTGTATGCATAAAATTCTTCATTTTTTTTTATAGGACGGGAAAGGGCTACACAGAATGGGGGAAGTGGCCGGTAATTTACCAATTTTTTTACTCAAGCAATGCCACATAAGCATGTTTTATTATTTTATCATTGTCTATTTTTGCCTTAAAATGGCCTTTCAATCATGTTTGGGAGTGAAAATGGCCCCTTTTAATTCTTTAGGCTGTGTTTGGTTGCAGTGCAAATTTATTTGCACTAGTGCAAATGCATGGGAATGCAAATGTAAAAAATGCAAATTCTTGTTTTACTTTATTCTGTTTCATGTCTTAATTTACTTCATTTGTATTGCAATCAAACAAAATAAATTAAAATTTGAAAAAAAATAGGTCAACATTTACATTCAAATCATTTGCACTGCCATGGTTTTGCATCAGTGCAAATTTATTTGCATTGCAACCAAACACGGCGTTAGGGTGGCTTTTTTTTTTGCAGAGTTTAAGAGTTGTCAAAGCTAAAAATCCAAAAATTAGCTTAGTGACCTTAAGATCAAGGATTGATGCTTGCCAACTACAAATCACAATATACCAGCAACAACAAATCCACAACAGTCACATGGTCATCTATACGCTGAGGAAGTCAAATACAAATATTTTTGATGTACTACCATCCAAATCCTCAACTATTAGCAATAAAAAAATGTGTACCTGTCCAGATGACCCAGCCCAAAAGCCTACAAGATATATGGTACATGCACTTGGAGAGGATATCCTCAAAAAATGCAAAAAATATCAGCTGTTTTCAAGCTTCTTTCCTTGTTATCCTGTCAATAAATATCGGCAATAGTTAGAAGCAGCCTGATGGTTTGACAATCAGGAGATAATTCTACCAGGTCCCAAGGGATAAAACTAATCACTTGTCTTCACATCTAGTAAATTTTATTTGTATTATAATATCTATCTATTCTTCTGATTTCTGAAATGTTGCCAAATTGATTGTGTTCAATGGCAATGCGACTGCCAGGCTTTATGAAACAACAGTGTGTAAGCAACCTGCACACTGTAGGCGGGATTTCTTCAACATCATGTGAAGGATGAAGACATTTTTTGTATCCAATTCTTCCACAAGAATATGGACGGACCCTTTCCAACTTGGCAAGCTAGCATCCTCTAGGAACTAACATCATCTTCAGTGTAAGATATTATGATAATTTATTGACTTGTTCAAGGCTTATATCAAGGTCATCAGTGGCTCCATTCTAAACTAATCTGCACAGGAATGAGTCCAGAATTTCTCACCTGAAGCAGTAGATTCCCAAAGCCGTGGTGATTTCATGGATGACTGATGTAGCAAAATGCAAGTATAGCGCCACTGTTTTCAGGGGAGAAAAAAATACAGAATATAAGAATAAGATAACCAGAGCCATAAATAGCAAATTAGAAAGGTGCCAGCCAGCTTTCTGTTAAAGTCTACTGCTGGTCATATTTGAGAGCTGGGGTTGAATTCCACCTTAACCAGGGTTTCGGGGTGGGGGGTTTTAGGGTAGGAATGGCAATTTTCCCTGTTTCCCTGATTGCCACGGGGATCCACCACGAGTGGGGCAGGGATGGGGATGATTTTCTTCCACGGGGATAAGGATCGGGAAATTTTAATCCCCATAGTGGGGATGGGGTGGGGATGGGGAGAGCACTCCCTGCCCCACAGGGTCCCCAATCCCCAACCCGTGGGGATCCCCGTTATATATATAACTTCAAACCGTAGATATTTAGGTTTTTAATAGATGGATTTAAGGCCTAGAGGTCCAAAACTTGGGATTTTTTTGTTGAGTAATTTGTGTTTTCTCTTATGAATTAATTAATGAATTTGTGTTAATATAATGTTTGAATATACTTGGATCTATTTTGATTGGATTGTAAATTGTAACTATTTTATTTTATTTTTTATTTTTTTGGAATGAAACAGAAATAAAAAATAAAGTGAACTTGACATAATAAAAAAATGGTGGGGAGTGGGGATCCCCATGGGGATAGAGATGCGGAAATCACTGTCGCCATTGCTGGGGACGGGGACAGGGATGGGGATGTTTTTATTTATTTATTTTTGCGGGGGCCATTCCTAGTTTAGGGCTTGGGCCTTGCGGTTGGAATCCCCCCCCTAGTGTAGTCCATTTGCCTAGCAAAAAGAAGATACATATGTTCTTACCTAAGGATGGAAAGTAAACATTTACTGATTTTCTTCTTACCAGAAAAGAAAAAAATGAGCCAAGAGAAAGAAGACTGAATTACCAGTAGTCAGATGGATCAAGCATGGGATTTGGTTTTCTGAAAAAATACAGGCCCAACACTTGCTATCATGAACCATAAATAACAAATAATTCATTTACCTGTGAATCCACAATATCCAAGAAGAACTAAGCTCTCATCAACTAAAGGAACTCTGACACCAAAGAAACACAGGAAGAGGTTGTAAGCTGAAAATGTGCTCCTATAATAGTTCTAGTATCATGATCAACATTGAAAGTCACAGTGGAGTAAAATTATCACATACCCATCATTGAGCCTTGCTGTAAGAGCATTTGCAACAGCAAATGGAAGATATAAAAGTGACTGTTCAAAATATAAGAGAATTTAGTACTCTGGATGGCTGTCACAAATATATTGCCATATTTTGGAAAATGTTGAAAAAACGTCCTAGACTCGAAGAAATTTTTAAGAGAAATAGAAATACAAAAAGGAAAAAGTGAAGTCCATGAAGGAGAGTGAAGAGGATGTCACCTATAAAAACTACAGTAGCAGTGGATTAGGTGGAAAGACATTTCAGGGTTGTACAACTGGCACATACTGTTGTTTCATCAAATATAAAAAGAAAAAACTAGTTCATAATATTAAAACCTAAGGAAGTTGTATGGGATAAGACCATTACGATTTATGGAACAGAAAATTGACTAATTAAGAAGCAAGATATCCATGGATGAGTGTAATCAAGACAAGGATGTTCAAACAGATGAATGGTATGGATAAAAGAAATTAAAAAGGAAAAATAAAAACTATTAAAGACTTTTCCAGAAAGATGGGAGGAATGAAGAACAGATGAAAATCGTTTATCTGCATCAAATGAAGAACAGATGAATTTCCCAGAAAAAGGTGATTTATTGCAAGTTGTATGTCATAAAATGGTAGGGAATACCAAAGAGCTGGGGCTTGGATAGTAAGTAATGATTTGATTATTCATGCTTTAATATAGAACATGGAACCTTGGAGAGGAATAGTGGAACAAATTCCATGCTGCAAATACCCCTTAGGATGTCAGAGGGAATAACGCAGATTGTGATGATGGATTCTAAAAATAGATTCCTCAATAACCAGAAAGAGGGAGGGATGGGAGAAAATCAAGCCATTTTCCAGAAAAAATCCTCTACAGCTGTTTTCAGATTTCTGGGTGGATGACTTTTATAGGAAGTGGCTAACTTATCATCTTTAAAGTCCCAGATTAGTATATCTTGGACACCACTGACTGAGGGGTACATAAAACTGAACATTGATGGCAGTAGTAGGGCGAATCCAGGCCACTCAGGTGTAGGTTTGTTCAGAAATGAGCTAGGCCAGGTGGTGGAGATTTTCTAAAGTCCGATTGGCATTGGGGATTAATGGAGGCTGAAGTAATTGGTAGCTTAGAAGGGGTAATCAAAGCAAAGGAGTTAGACGTGCATAAGCTGGCTGATTATAGAAGGGGATTTTCAACTGGTGGTTAAATGGCTGCAAAAACAAAGGCCGAAGTAATGGTAACTGTGGAAGGAGTAATCAAAGCAAAGGAGTTAGATGTGCATAAGCTGATTATAGAAGGGGATTCTCAACTGGTGGTTAAATGACTGCAAAACAAAGGGGGTGATTTTTGGATGTATAGAAATGAGTTAAAGAAGATTAAATGGATAACTAGGGGCATGGATGTATAATTCAATGAATCCAAAGAATGGCAGAACTAAAGTTAATGATTGGGTTTAATTGTAACTAGGGGTATGGATTCAATGAATCCAATGGATAACTAGGGGTATGGATGCTTTGGCAAAACAAGGGTTGGGAGAAATCAAATGTTTGGGTTTAATTGTAATATTTTGAATTTGGAGATGAGCTGTTTTATCTCTAATTGTACTTGTACACTTTTTTCTCATCTTTAATTAATGAAAGTTACAGTTATTGATTAAAAAAGAACAAAAATAAATACAAAATAAAATAGAAGGCTAGTACACAACATTTTCTAAAATAACATACCTAAAGAAACATAGGTCCTGATCCTCTATGAAGTTCCCTATAGGGCTTCTCTGTGTCATCATGAGTCATGAGAAGCCACTAATTCACCCAAACTCATCAGATGAAAGGTGCACAAGCAGGCAACTAACAGAATGTTCCTATAAAAAAAAGAAAATAGAGGGATATTTAATAAAAAAAAACTGAAATCCTAACCCACAAAAGTTACCCCACCTTTCTTTGTTTCCTTCCACAGTTGCCCACACCCCCTTCAGGCCTTAATCCTTTCTGATCTTAACCAATCACAGGTGGAGGTAATAGACTCAAAAAAAAATCACAGGTGGAGATAATAGAAACAAGATGATGGCAATCAATGCAAAGCAGTGAGGCCATTGGTAAAGTGGTTTAGTTTAAAATTTTCCCTTTCAAAATTTTCACGTGTTCAAGATTGTACACTTGCCTTTGGTCCCAGGAGCTTGAGCAACATGGCCCTCTCTCATATTGGAGGCAGACAAGTGCCTTAGGCAACAACATAGAGGATCTAGAGTCCAAAAACACAGCCCATGAGATGGGATAGAATTCTACTAAGGATTTTGGAAGTAAATCAGTCAGAAAAATGCAACATACCATGCACATTCCAGTTTTCAAGCCCTTGGGTTCATCACATAAGTGAGAGAGGATCATCCTTCCCTGCCAACACATAATGTTTTTTTTCTTAGATGATCGTCTAATTTAACTAAAAGAAGACAATAAGATGTTATTAATTTGTACTGCACCAACAAGCATAGCCATATGCAAACTATAGAGATAAATAATAGATAAAGAAATTTGTAGTGCTTTACATGGAAGAGGTAATACTATAGACACGGAATATTTCACAATGCTTGAAGAAAAGGAACATCAGGAAGAAGGAGAGTATCGGGAACTAGTTCAAGTTGTCACCAACAAGCATAGCTCTGACATCATCTCATAAAGGACTAAATGAACCTATGAGGTGTAGACAGTTGATCATACATAACCACAACTACATAAAGCAAGCTGAAAACTACACCAAACCAAGAAACTCAATTTAAGCTGTCCATTGGCATTATATAAATCAATCTGAAAATTACACCAAGACACCCTTCTGGTGCTGCCTGGCTTGAATATGTGACATTTTCATTTTCTTTGTGTTTTTTGGGGGCCGGGGGTGATTAATAACAGTTCTTAAGATTTCATCAATAAAAGGGTCTCACTTCCCATGAATACATAAGTGAGAAATAGTACAACACATCTCAAGGTTGACTCTCTTTTTTATATTTTCACTTTGTTATAAATCTATCCTTAGACCTGGAGCCCCCCAAACCAGTTCAGAATCTTCAGATCTTGTGTTCCCTCTTGCTGAAGGATCAGCTAGGCTATTGGCTAGCCTTGGGGTCCAGTTGAACAAGTAGTTCATGTTTGATACTAAAGCCTGGGCTTCTAGTATCATACTTATAAGAGACCATGGACCTGAAGCTATAGAAATGAACCAGGAATTTTCCACTTGATGGTTACCTTCTACAACCAGGTTGCTGTAATTGGAAGGGTGAAATAGCCTCAAAGAATCTCCTCCTGTAGGTCCCAAGTAGCTTAATAATATCAATATGTAACCAATTCTATTTCTTATTTCTCCACCTATACCTGCTAAACCTGATTACCTTAGCAATACCCATCAAAATTCAGTTGTGTATCCCACTTCAAGGGTATCCAATGGTGAGGAGTATGTTGGCTTCTTGGAGCATAATTAGCTATTTTGGACCATCCTCTTAGGATTTGAGTCCATGGGAACTCCCTTGAAATCTTCCATAGTTAAAACCCAACAGACCACCCTAGTCTTTATGAGGTCTATTATATATTCCACTTGTCCTTACTCCTAAAGGTTCTAGAATTCCTTTCACACAACACAAGCACTCATAAGAAATTTCAGACATTGGCAATCCTAATAGGCCCTACAGTGCAAGATCTGATGTGTTACCCAGTCAAGATGAACCAGCCCATGTTAGTGTGAAATTAGAGATAGGAAAAACGTTTAGAAACCCTTGGAACTCAAGCCTGAATAGTCTACATCTCTACTCATAATACAAAGCCAACCACAACACACCACGTCAACTGATTCAATTCTGCATTACAAGATAAACCATTTCAGAGTCCTTTGAACTCAAACCTGCAAGGATTATATATGCATACTATACCATGAATATCTTACCACGAGAAATCCAAATGCAAGTCCAGTTCCCACTATAACTAGATGTGGATAGTTTCCCATGATATCAGAGGGAGACAAATAATCCCTGCAACAATAGGTTTTTCATTAATAGAGATATATCTCTTGGAAGTGAAGCTAGAAGGGAAAGAAAAGGAGGTAGCATAGATTAAGAAAAATTAGAATCATACCAGGCTAGAACTCCTCCTAGAAGGGCAGCAAAAGGGTAAAGCTGGCAAGTGGCAAGAAACAGAAATTTATTAGGCAACCTGGAAACCAATGGTCATATTTCTCAAAGTAACAGTATTACCATTGCTAATGCCAATAACATGCTTCCTTTTTTTGCTTGAACAACCTTATAAACATTGTAGACACTGCACAAAGGCATTATAACAAATGAGGTAAGTGCCCAACAACCTCTGCCAAACAACATATATGGAGTAATGAAATTGAAATACAAAAGTGCCATAACAGCCACTGTTCAGAGACAATGTTTGCATAATTCAAGAATAAATAACCTAATATCTATTTAGCATTTCACAAAGGATATTCAGATATATCTGATCCAAACTGGACATGAATCATAATCCATAACCATAAAAATTTCTTGTGTAAAATATGGCAATTCAGTGGAATTAAAAAACCAGGTATCACAAAGTAAGTATAGAAAATTAGCTAGTCCATCAGGTATAAACATATATAACAAAGCTAGAAAATATATACCAAAGATAAGAAGAGAAAAATAGATAACAAACAAACAACCAATTGGTACTTACTTGAATATAACTGTTGGTATAACACCAAAAGCCGTCATTAGAAATAACACAACTCTGTATGTTGGAATTTCTGATATTCAAGGACAATGGGAAAATGAAATGTCAATTTTTTAAACGAAATGGCAGCACGGAAAGAGCACAATTCACAGATTGTATGAAGAAATAACATGAAGATTAACTGGGAAACACAATGGTAATCACAAAATAAGAAACATGTTTGAGGGAAGATTGAGACATAAAAACAAAAGGATGTATCATCCAATATTTCAAAAGATCTAGGAATAATGTGGGCCACCCAGAAAAAAAGTCAGAACCAATGGTCCAGATCATTTGAATGAGGTTTGGATTAATGCTTGGTAACTAATGGTGGCTTAATTGAAAGCACCACAAATTCCAATGAATAACACAATATATCAGATATAAGTTCTAATTCCAACCAACATAGAAACATTTTTGACATTGTGTTTCGAGCTTGTCTTTTAGTAACTTCTAGAGCTTCAATTAACATAAACTTTAGAATTCCTTCTAGTAGAATCAAACTCATATTTGAAGTTTTGAACATTTCAGAAGCCTTCTGATAGAAAAGTCAGTAAAAAATACTCCCTATTGATGCAAATATAGAAGATCCAAAGGCAACCAAGAACCAGAAGTCACCGCTAGCACACATGATAATTGAAAGATGTTTACCATTCAATATCATCAGTATTTTGAAAAATGCACCCTAGATTCTACGGAGCAAAATAATATTGTAATAGTAGAAGAAAATATGATCAAGATGATAGATCATATTATAAATGCAAATGACCAGTCAAATATTGCCAAGAGAAAGCCATAGGCAAAATCCTATATGGATTTATTATGCTAGATTTCATCCCTCTGGCATATGCATATAGAGAGAAAATTCCTGGGGGAAAAATTCCAAGGCAGTTTTATGTAATTTATGAAATGCCAGATGTTATCGTTAAAAAGAAACTGCTAAATTGAATATTATTTACCATAAACAAACGGTATCCAACTCAAAAATGGCATAGACTTCCCAAAGTGTTGAACCCACCACTCAGCACCTGAAAGAAGTGAATGAAAAGACTAGAATCACATCAATACTGAAAAAAATGAATTGCACACTAAAGTAAAGTATCACTGAAATAGATTCTAAAATTATATCAGAAATGTGTGTTAGCTTGAAATTGAAAGCTAGGGGACATACCAACAATAGCTGTAAAAAAATGGCACACATAAATCAGCAAGAGACCTTCTGTAGGACCATTTATTGCTGGAAGAATAAGTGTATTTGTGAAAAAGCTGAATCCAAAAAAGAAATAGTAACTTCAGAAACATATCCCTGAATAATACAACTTTGACGAGACTGCCACCATAAAGATTTTATTTCAAAGATGAAAATGAAGTGCAACATGAATGGACTATTAATAGAAATAGAAATAGTGCACGTGCAAATAAAAGAATCTGTGCTTAAGTATATGTGGATATACTTGATCACTGCTGCATGTAGCTCAACACTACCTTTCTTTGGTCTCAAAAGATGCCTCTTAGCTGCATGTTTGCAACTAATAAAGATTATTTCTATCTAAATCTATTATCTTTTTTTTTTTTTTTTTTGTAAAAGGTAAGGTAATTTATTCAATCAAAGAGACATTACAATAGAGCCCAGGCCATTAAAGGCTGCCGAGGATCACCTCAGATTACAATCTCATCCAAGACTGAGAACAAAACAACAACCGCAAATTCTGATTTTTAAAATCCTCCGTTGCCGACACCCAAGACAATAACTTGCCCACTGCTTTCTGCACTAAAGTACAGCTGCCGGAATGGTGTTCCAAACCAAATTTCCTTTCTTGCTGAGACCCTCAATTTTCCAACAGTTCAGCAGCTCCTTCACTGAATTTAGCATTACCCAACTAACTTCCGAGGCCTTAAGGAAATGACCCCAGACATAAGAAATTGGGCAATGGATACACAGGTGCTCGGTAGATTCTGCAGAAGCTCCACATAAGCCACACGAAATATCCAGAATCTGAATGCCACGTCTCCCCAGATTAACACTGGTCAGACACTTGTCAAGGACCATTGTCCAAACCAGAAAATTTATTTTAGAGGGACTAGTTGAATTCCAAATCTGTCTGGCCGGAAAGTTCACTTAACCTGGACTGACCAACTTAACAAACATAGATTTAACAGAAAAATAGCCATCAGCTTTCCATTTCCAGCTCCACTCATCCTCCAGATTTAAATCAATCATCTGATTTTGAAGTAAACCCAGCAGAGCCGCATACTCTTCAACCTCCCAATCAAAGAGACTCCTCCTACAAAGCAGATTCCAAATAATGGAATTACCTGATACATTAAAGTTCTCAGCTATAGAGGATTCCTGATTTACAGAGATTTGATACAGAAGAGGGAAAGCTTCTTTCAAACACACTTCTGAGCACCAAGAGTCCTTCCAAAATTTAATTCTCTCCCCATTTCCCACCTTAAATCTAATCCCTTCCCCAAATATAGGAAGGACCTTCAAAATACCTGCCCAAATGGATCTTGCCCCTCTTAAAAGAGGGCATTTGGATCTCCAATCACCCCATTCCACTCCATATTTTTCCGCAATAAGRTTTCTCCACCATGCATTTCTTTCATTAGCAAACCTCCATAACCATTTGCTAAGAAGGGCAGAATTAAGTTTCTTCAAATTCCTTATTCCCAGCCCAGGTGTCTTGAGTTCGGTTTGGA